TTATCAGGTCTCTAGAATTTCAACATGTTATTTTAAAGATAAACTCTTTATTATCCCAATGCATATATATCTGTGTGAGTGTGTGTATATCCATAAGATTTTGTGTGTACATCCAAATGTCTTTCAGTTATGAAGAGGCAATGGATTTTTGCCATTATTTCCAAAACCAAGACTCTCTCTTAGAAAAAGCAAAAAATAAATGCAATTTTAGTGTAACAGGTTTCCTGGTTCTGCTGCTAAAGATGTTAAGATCCTACTAGAGCAGTCTGAATTAAAAGTTTGCCTTTGGGTTCATGATCAATACGAACAGTCTTCTAGTTGTATTCTGAACTGTAACTTCAGTATTTACTGGAAAAACTTGTTTTGGTAATGTTAAAATTTCCTTAAACTGAGGTCTTTTCTGTTTTCACTTTGACATATTCACACTGTTTAATAGGACATAAAAATGTCCTGTGGATCACAGGAGTCATGCTGATAAAATAACAATACTACCTTATGGTGGCACTATATTTCTTATATAAGTCAATATATAAACAATTGCTGTTTATGTAGTTGCATCCTAGTATATTAGATCATAGCCTCTGGGAAAACTCTCATTAATTTCTGTAGGGATGCAGTAATCTTTATGGTAAATTTTCCCACAAGGGCTGACCAAACCCATGATTTTCATTTCAGAGGTACTAATAGTTTTTGTCTTTAACTATAAATAAGCTATCGTCTAGGATTTTTATTCTTCCATATAAAGCATTCGAAAATTTAGTACAGGTTCAACAATAATAAATATTGATTTCAATCTATGAAAACACATTTGAGTGTGAGAAATCATCACTGTATAATATTTACTTTTAAGAATGTTACACAGGATGGAGGAATACTAGATCATCTGCAAAAGTTTTCCTAGAGCTGGTAAATTAGAAATGCAATATTTAGCCTCTATTTATTCATTTAGTTAGTTAGTTAGTTGCTTGCAGCTACCCTGTTGTTTTTCTCTATGATTTCCTCATAAATTGGTTGAATGATTTTATGCCTTTATGCATCCTTTAGGGACCTTGCTCTGTAGTTCTAAACAATGAGACACTTACACCAAATTTTTTTTTGCTAAATGTGTCTCAATAGTAGCTATAATATAACGTAATTTTCTGAAAGATTGTGAAATGTCAGTCTTGGTGATAGTATTAAGATCAGGCACAAGAGGAGTTCACTATGATATTAAACCTAATCCAAAGTGACCTGCATGGAGATTGTGATGGATATAGCTTTAAACTGTTGTAAACCATGACCTGAGTTGCATATTCCAAGAATTGCTATCAGGAACCACAAAAACCAGTGGAGAAAAAACTCTTACACAGCAGAGACACTGCCTGAACTGTCTTTGGTGCCCCATAACTTCACACAAAACACCACCTCTCCTATACTGCCTTCATTGCAACTGGTGGAGCCCAAAAGTCATGGACTAAAGGAAAAGAGTGGATTTTTTTTTTTTAGATATTTGTGGAAATCTTATGGTCATTTAATGGATATTTTACACAGATGATACATAGACTAAGGGAATCTGTGTTGAATTGTTTTGAATAGTGTGGTATCAGAGCATGATGTATACACTATAGTCTCAGGGTGGGAATTTGTCCTGGTTTTGACTGGGATAAAGTTAATTTTTTTCACAGTAGCTGGTATTATGCTGTGTTTGAGACTTAGGGCGAGAACAATGCTGCTAAGCACTGCTGATGCAGAGTTAAAGCATTTTCCACTTCTCATAACATCTCAATAGTTCAGAGGCTGGGGGTACACGAGGAGTGATGAAGGAACCCAGCTGGGACTGCTGACCCCAGCTGACCAAAATGGTATCCCATAACCTATGGTGTCATGCTTAGCAATAAAAGCTGAATGAAGAAGACAGGAAAAATTTGAGTGATGGCATTTCACTTCCTAAATCACCACTACATGTAGTGGAGCACTTCCTTCTTGAAGATGGCTAAACACCTACCTGCCCATAGGAAGTGGTGATTCAATACCTTTTTTTGTGTTGCTTGGATGTGTGGGTTTTGCTCTACCTACTAAACTGTCTATCTCACAATCCATGAGTCTTGTCACATCTACTCTCCCGATTCTCTTCCCCATCCCACTGTGATTGGAGTGAGCAAGCGACTGTGTGGTTTAGTTGCTGGATAGGGTTAAACCATTACATCATTTGAACTCACTCACATGCTTTTGGTTTTAGTCTGTTTTGTCATATTCTTGTACCCCATCTTTCATTTGCAGTTATTTATGAGAATGGTCAGGTATTTGGTTTAGGGGCCCTGGTTCCAAGTCTGATCTTGCTCCTTGTCGTCAGAGTGGTCCATCTGTGTATCAGAAAGTTTCTTATGTGAATCTGAGGCCAGATGTGGATCTCTATCTGCATTTTATAAAATCCTTAGGAGGGTATTGATCTCTGTGCAGAAAAAATACACTGAGACTAATGAAGAATGATAGTGCAGGTTTTTTTAAACAAGGAACTAGAAAACATCAAGAAAATTGAACAGGTTTTTTTAAACTAGGAACTCGAAAACATCAACATAATGAATCACACCTACTGTACAGCCTCCTTTTTGAAGCGTTCTCTACAGAATGCCTAAATGGTCTTTGAAATATAATGAATTAGGAGTACATTTCAGACTTGTAAAAGCAGGAATATGATCCATGAATCATTTTACTCCTAAGAAAAAAACATTGCAATCATGTTCCTTAATTTTTAAACATAGATTATTTATTTATTTTACATGAATCAAACCATATGCCAATATCTTTGTCTCTGGGTAGATTTATTCTTTTAAAAAAGTCCCTAATTGGAGATACAGAGCAGGTGCAAAAGGCATTCTAAGTTAAATAGCTCAAGAGTAACAGTTACCAAGCCATTACATGGAGCAAACTATTGGAAAGCTAACAGGGCAGTTGCAAGCAAGAAACAGTAGTGATTGGATTTCTGTGATGAGAAAGTTGAAAATACTCATGACAAAGTACTTGAAAAATAACATGATAGGTACTATTTTAAAGGGTAAAGGGTGTGTGGAATATGAGTGTTGACTGAGTGCTTCTGTGAAGGAAAGCTTCAAAAAATATTTTCTTCACCTTAATCTCCACAGATATTATTGAGCTAGGCAATAGTACATAAAATGTACTAATCATATTTATGGATTTTCTGATTTAATGGGATCAGGTTTTCTTAAAAAAAAAATCTTAAAAGCAATATGCCAGCGTAATTATTGAATATGAATATAACAATATTAAAGTCTACAGATGTTCTGACAAATATCAGCAGGCACTAGGGAAAAATAAAGATAGACCTATGTAGCAAAATTCCTTCAAATAAAACTTAGTTAAAATATCAGACTTAGATCCTGACTTTCTTGAAGAGAACTGAATTTTGTCAAAATTACTCTACCACCCAGCCATCTGCTGTCCCTTAATCAACTTTGTGGCCTTTTGTTGAACTTTCTCAAGTAAACAAAAAAAAAACAAAACCCAATCAAATAAACAGCAAAAAAAGGGAATATTGTTTCAGTGCTTGATAATAGCAGGTGCCACCAGCCCTGTCCTCTGCTCCTAGGAGAGGTCCAAGCTTGAAATAGGATTCCAAGTATTAATAATTAATAATGACTTCTGATCTAAAACTGATTGCTTATTGACAGGTTTGGAGAATGATGAAGTAGTTTTACAGATATTAAAAGTCACTCAGATAAATGGGAATCTTCAAAAAAATGTTCTTGATAAAGCTGGAAATATTACAAAGTCTGTATTATTCCCTTGTTACAGCTGTAATTTTTAACCCATCTGTGTAGCATAATATAGGGAAAAATCAGATCAGGAAAAATGTAACTGAAAATAGAAAAAGGTACTTGCTTGCTTTCTTATTGACTTGCTTCAAATATTCTGAAATTTTTGGGGAGATGATCAGCTAGAAAACCATAGAATTTTACATTGTGTTGAAATGTTTTTCAATATTTTTCAAGATTTTTTTTATGCACTCCCATTAAAATGACATTATTGGGCACACTTATTTCAGATAAGTTATGAATAATTATAGAAACTCATGAAATAATTTTAAGTGTTAAATGCACAAACTTCTTACGAAAAACACCAAAAGTGCACCTGTTATTGTAAGCTATCCTCTTATAAATTTATTTTTATACAAGTAATGGATATTTTTTTGTACCTTGTAAGCTTTAATAATTGAACATATTTATTATCTTTAATTATTTACTACAGAAATTTTAAACAGGGACCACTTTTAATTATAATACATGTGGAAAAGAATCATCCTTTCTTGTTAAGAGTCTTTGTTGGAGTTATTTATAAATACATATGAACATTTACATGTATTAAAAGGGAGACTGCAATGAGTTTGCTCACGATATACAAAGAAAAAAAAACATTATTTATTTGGAGATTATAAAAACCCCTGAACATATTATTCCAGCATTTTATTAAATAGAGAAATGATACAGACATCCATTATTAAAATTCTGAGAACTAGTCCATTCTCACTTCCACAACTATGGAACAACAAGCTGGTATGAAGGAACACAAATACTTATTTTGCCTGCTTATATTTTTAAAAATATTTACCATTCATTTTATTATCCAACATTACTGCTGCAAAGAACAGAATTAATGGTATTTTTATTTACAATATATATTCCTCTATACTTATCACAAATACTGGTAGTGTTGTTTATTTGGGTTAGATAGTTACATTCAGTACAGTTATTACTGGTTTTTTTTGTCTAAATTACTACGTCAGTCTATCTAGTGTCTTAATAACATGCTTTTTAACAGTTAATTTTTTATGTGAATATTAATGGGAAATGTTCCTATTTTAATAATGAAACTAGTGACACTCAATTACTAGTGACTAAGCAATAGCAGTTCATAATTTTATCTGTGAAGCAGTAATTTGTCTAGCTACAGCCCATCAGTCTGAAAGCAACAAATTTAATCAGATAAACAACCTAACTACTCACAGCAACTTCTCCTGTGATTCGACTTCATTTGATAAGCCAAATGGACAAGTTTCCCTTGAGTTAGATGTATAGCTGGTAGATAGAGGAAGACGGAGATCTTGGGAGCATCCAGCTAGAAATTATATTCCCATACATTCAAAATGTACTGCTTCTTCCTAAGTAATTGGTGCTTCTATTCAGAGGAGAAGTAATGGCTCATTGCAATTTTTCAAACTTGCTTCATATTTCTAAAATAGTCTCAAATTTCACAACTTTAAGTTCCATACAACAAGATCACAAGAAAAAATTTTCACTTGTATGTGTGAAGGAAGCTTTAGCAAAATCAGGACTTAATGCACTTGAAAACATTTGGATAAAAATTTACTAGTAAGTGTTGACTTGTGATCATGATGAGAGAAGAAGCAGAAGTCTCCTTTAAGACAAACTGACAATTATTTCTGTCAAGGCAATAATTCTACTCATTATAAAAGGTAGCATCATAGATGAAAGCTTTTATATCATGTTATGTACAGCACAAACTGAGAATTTTTGTCTTTGTACTTGCCTGAAACTTTTGCTGCAGCAGGACAAACTAAGAGTCTCTTTCTACAATTTTTTTTTTTTTGGTGCAGCTGCTCATAATGTGTAAAAAACATACTGTGAAGAAGAATGTAAGTCATCTATTGATACATCCTATGGAGCAATCTCTTTGTAGGTGCAAAGGTACTTGAATCTACAGATATTTTCTCAGAGGAGTGTTTCATCCTACATGACTAGTACTCTTCAGAGAACCTGCCTGTGTGACCTCCGTGATCCACTCTTATGCCCTGGGTTTTCTCCAACAATCACCTTCTAGTATTTTTCCATGATGAGGACAGAATTAAGATCAGTAAACATAACACAGAATCCAGGAACAGGAATGTTGAGCACATGGTGTATGAAGGAGGAAAACACCTTTATTGTGTATAAAGACAAAGCTTAAATGTTCTTCAATCCAGTGACACTGATGTTAATTGACAGTCTGTATGTCAGAATTAAAAGAGCCTGTTCTTCAAAAGAAAGTGCCTGTGTTCAGGCCTAGATTTGTATGCACAAGTGAACAGGCACATAGAAAGACATATAAAAAGGACAATCAACACCCTTTTTAGTACAGAGCTAGCTGTTGGACTTCTGGACTTCAATAGGAACGCATAGAACTTAGATAAGGTGTTTGCATGCCTAACAGCAAAAAAAATGAATTTTACAAGAAGAACCTGGACGGATGTCTCTAATTATATTTCTAATCTAATTAGAGAACCACTGAAGTTTGAAGGCATCTCTGGAGATCATCTAGTCCAGTGCCTAAGCTCAGAGCAATGGCAACTGGAGCAGATTGCCCAGGACCATGTCCACTCAAGGTTTAAATATCCCCAAGGACATAGGTAACTACTTTGACAATCTGCTCCAGTGTTTGAACATTGTTACAGTAAAAAAACAAAACAAAACAAATTATTGTGTTCACATGGAATTCTGTGGGCATTTTTTTCTCCAGCCTGAACAGTCTCAGCTCTCTCAGCCTTTCCTCACTCCTCACATTATAAGTGCTTCAGTCCCTTAATCAATATCATGGCCCTTTGCTGGACCTGTTCAAACAGCTCTATATATCTTTTACCCCTAAACACAGAACTGACTTATATAATAAGTAATTTTTATTGGACAAAATGTAGGCAGAATGGAGAGCAGAATGTTTCTAGAAGGACCTTGGCAGAAGTATATCTGTACTTACATATCCAATCTAATAAAGCAGGGGAAAAGATGGACTAATGAAATAGGAAGCACTAGACTTCTGAGTTACTGAGACTCTGAATCAGGAGACCAGAGGGGAAGCAGTTTATAAATGCAGACACATTATCTAATGAGTAAAACCTTTAAGATAAAAAGAGGGGAAAAAACCTCAAGAAGATGTCAAATCATTGAGTGGGTTATGAGCAAAAATCCACTTAGTAGATTGGTACTGTAGGCCCTGAAAGGTTGTAGGTAGTCTGGAAATAAATATATATGAACTCTGAGAATCATAGAATACAGGTGTTTCCAAGATATGCAGTGGATGAGCAAATAACTCCCAACATCTCTGCTAGATTAATTTCTCCCTTCCATGTTTTGATTTTGATGTTAAAATTCATTGAGATTCATATTGTGAATATGATGGTCCAAGTTTATTAATGAATTATTTGTTTTAGAACATCTTCACACCATGCAGAGATTTACCGTTGTGCCTTTAGTTACTGAGACTCACTTATCAAAGAAAGAACCAGATGTTCTGTGCAGATAAATTATGTCTCCCAACAGTGAAAACTTATAGGTTTATCAGGTAATATAGTGCTCTAAGTGGAATATATCTTAGCTAACTGCAGGTATTTGAAAGTTGGATGTCTGCACTAGTAAGCCAAGTTTATAGTTATGGTAGAAGAAAGAATACTTCCAAGCACTTCCAACTGATATGTCTTGGGTACCTGTTTTGGGGTGAGATGAATTATTCTCATGTTATGCCTGACTTTCTGTTGACTATGATAAAAGGTGAAAACCTTGAAAAAGTTAGATATCTAACTTTTAAACATCTCAGAGTAGATGTGTTATTTTATTTAAGTGCAGAGGACAAGAATGAGGAGCCCTCCTCCTCCAGTATAAACTCTCTATGCTGAAACAGAGCTTTATTAGATCAGAAAATGTGAGATTTGTCCAAAATTTTAGATTAACAATTAGACAATATGCCACGGAAGAATTACTTTTCTTTAGTCCATTCCCTCAAGAAAACTTGACAGAACCTGAAAACACAGGAAAAAAAGAGATTTCCTAACAATCACCAGTTTTATGCCTATATTACCAGGACACCTATAAAAAATGGGAATAATGCTGCTTTTTCTAGACATCAACAGCCTTTGACAGGCTTCAAAAGGACAGTGATTTCTCCAAAATTCAGAATAGCTTCAGGAGAAATAAGGTGCCTAAAATGTTGACAATCATATTTCTTAAAGTTACCAACCTGATGGCATTGTGTAATTCTCTTGCTATCACTGCCTCTAAATGTGTTTGGAATACAGAAGAAAGATCTGTAAAACTGGAATTGTGTCTTTTGGGTTGGCTAATCTTGAAAACGCTTCAATCATTCTCTATGCAGCATATAAATACATTTAGATGCAGCAATAAAGATATCTAAGTCTTTTCCTCTTCTATTCTTTTGACATTACTTTCATACCAATTAATACCCAGTCTTTTAAAAATATGTGTCTTAGTTTTCTCTCTCTTTATTAAAGCAAAGAACTGCCCAACTGTGGTGTTTTTTGAGCCTTCTACTTTTTTTTTTTTTTTTTTGCAAGGAAAACAAAAAATAGTGTAATTTATCTAGTTTAATTGAGAAAGACATTAGAGGAAACTCATACCTTTCATAGTTGGAGGTCAAATGACCTACCACGCTTTCTAAAACTTTGTGGAGTATAATTCTTTTAATTTCTTTGGAGTTTGAGTTATTAATGTATAGCAAATATGTTTGCTAATTTAGTGAAGAGTTTGCCTTTGTTCATTCTTCATTTTGCTTACATTTATATTTTTATGCAAGGTACAAGTAGGAGAATCATGGTCAATGAGGCTTGAAAACTTGTTGCTATACAACATTATTGTAAATTTGCTGCATATTTCATCCACTTATACCCAGGAAACTACTATTTCTTTATACCTCACCCTTGACAAGGAAGAAAAACCCCAAATTTCCAACAAAATAACCAAGCAAACAAAAAACAAAAAATCCAAACAAGTTATCTCATAAATGAATGTGAAAAACTCAACAACAGCAGATTCATGAAGCACTGGAACAATGAATCTCATCTAGAAGTTAGTAATATCATGAAGAAAGGTACAGTGTCCTTGGCATACTTGAGAAATTATATATTTGTGTGACCAGAAAAACAAAGTGATATTTCAACTCCTTGAAAGAAAAAACAGGAACACCAGACAAATTCCTATCAAAAATATGTAAGCAAAGAGAAAACTGGATGTAAGAATTTATACAAAATAAATACAAAAATAAAATCCTGAAAAATATTATGATGGATAATGAAGAAACTGGACAATCAACTGCAAACAGAAATATTAGTAAGTGGGAGCAGGCATAGGTGCATCTGTATTACAAGGAAAACATTAGCTGAACAAATACTAGCATGCATGCGCAAAGGTACAACTTTGTTAAGTCTCCTCTTTTAATCCTAAATTAAGATAACCGTGAAGACCTGGACAACAGGTGCTGCTGCATATAACAGTTCAAGAATTTTTCTTAAAAAAGGAGAAACATTTTATCACAGAGGAAGAAGTTGATAAATAATGTGGAGTCTTAAAGGTTGTAACACTGTAATAACAGGACCTTGAGACCTGAAAGACTGCTGACAAACATAATCTATACAGACACCAAAAGAAAGCATTCCCTTTCAATATCAACTCACCACCAAAATGATGCTTATATAAGTTCCCTAGTATTTTAACAAAACAAAATGTTGAGCATTCCCACTGAAAGAGTCTCAGGTCACAAACTTAATTTATTTTTGCATAAGAACCAGCTGATTTCATGCAAAGCTGCAGCATAGTCAAAGATGAAGAAACAATATACAGATGAAAATAAAACAAAATAAAAAGAAAGGCATAATAACTACATAGAAAGGTTTAATTAACCTTTTTTGGTAATGAAGAAGCTCGTTTCTCAACAAAGGAGAAAATTTCATCCTAAATGGAATTCTCTATTGCAGGGGATTGTAGAGATTTGTCAAGAAATTTCAAAAGTGGTGTATTTGTTATTTCAAACTAACACCCTTGTTATGTCTATAAGAATTAAAAGCCCTAACAATAGCTGTTTTGTACTGCATTGTAGAGCTTTTGTTACATATATATAAACTAGTTTGGGTTATACGTTATATTTCAATTTAAATTAATGTTCAAGTAATTCAGAATTTCCTTAAAATTTAAGATTTTTTTGATCACTATCTAACACTGAACCTGTTTAACAAAATCTAAACATATATGTCTAACAAAACCAAAAATATATTTTATTATAATTAATTAATTTAATTCTGCAATTCTTGATAAATTTAAATTTGTGTAGAAGATAGAAAGCAATGTCTCAACTGGCAGTTAAAAAACAAACTTGTGCTC